GTGTGTGTGTGTGTGTGTGTGTGTTTTCTGTACAACGCCTTTTCCTGCCTCATGATGCTAGCCAACTCGCACAGAACCATTATTACTTCCGATAGGAAGCCCTAATAATTATGTTAGTGAAAACCACTATGTAACAGCTAGAATTAGAATACGCAAGTCGCAAGAAATAGGAAGGGGATATTGGAAACTTAACGTATCTCTGTTAGGGAAAGAACAAGTCACAAACAACATTAGCACTTTGCTATCGGAGCTACGCGACTGGTGGGAAAGCCTCAAAACCAGGACAGCGTCTAAGTTACAATACCTAGGAAAAGAAATAGCTAAAGAAAATGGAAGTAAAATCCATAAGTTAGAAAGATACATGACTAGCTTAGCACGATTTTCTAATGGCGACTCCAATTTTATCTAGTCGATAGGAATGATAAAGCAAGAATTAGACCAACTATATGAAGAAAAGTTAAAAAGGCTTAAGGATAAGAGCAGGAATAAGGAATATTGAAGGAGAAGGAAAATTTAACAGTGACTTTTACAGACGGCTTAAAAATAAAATGAATAGATCATTAATAACAGAACTTAAGAATAAAGAAAAGCAGGTAGTAACAGATAGAAAATGCATAGAAAATATAATATTAGACTTCTACAAGGAACTCTACAGCCCTAAAGAAATAGATAGAGGTAAGTGGGAGGATGTGATTAAACATCTTCCCACACTTTCGAAGGAAGCAGAATACCTATCAGAAGAAGCAAAAATAGCAATGAAAAGTTTAGGAAAGAAAAAGTGTCAGGGCCAGACGGACTCTCAGTAGAGTTCTATGAACAGTTCTGGCACATAATAGGTCAACCACATGTTGTTATGATAAACAATAGTGTATTAAATAACAGATTACCTCCTTCATTCAAAGAAGGTATAATCAGCCTGCAGTGTAAAAAGAATTTTTTTAGATCTAATTAACGATTATAGACCTCTTACGCTCAGCAATGTTGATTATAAAATATTTGCTAAGTGCATAAACAATAGATTAGTAACCATGTTAGATCACTTAATTAAGTCTGCCCAGACATCTGCAGTCCCTGGAAGAGACATGCTATTTAATGTTAACATGCTCAAGGACATAATACAAATAACAAACAGTAAAGGCTCTCCGGCTTGTGTAATCTCGCTTGATCAGGAGAAAGCCTTTGACAGGATAAGTCATAGTTTTATGTATTAAGTAAATACGGCATACTGGACGAAATAATAAAATAGATAAAACTGATATACAGTAATGTAACAGCTAAAATCAATATAAATGGACATATAACAGACAGTTTTAATATAGGAAATGGAGTAAGACAAGGGTGTCCCCTCTCCCCCACCTTATACAAGTTAGTAACTGAATGTTTCTTAGCTAGTGTAAGCTCTGACCCTGAAATAGTCGATGTTCACATACCAGGTAACTACGCCATCCAGCAAAAGTGCCTTGCGCACGCAGATGACGTAACCCTGACGACTGATGTATCCAACTCCAAATGTTTTAAAACACTCAATAGTTTCTGTAGTGCAAGTTGCGTGAAAATTAATAGTGAAAAATCTAAAGGTTTTTGGTTAGGGAGATGGAAAATCAGAAATGATTCTCCAGCTAATATCACATGGACCAACAGTCCCATTAAAATATTAGGAATCTGGTTAGGTCCATACGACCCAACCAGATATAACTGGCAAATTAAAATTAAACAAGCAGCAGCGAAAATCAATGAATGGAAGGATAATGAACTTTCAATGTTAGCCAAAGCTCAAGCAGTAAAGCAAATCATTTACCCAAACCTAGTGTACTTAGGTAGAACACTACCTCCTGGCAAGACAGATTAAAAGGATAAAACAGATAGTGTACCAGTTTATCTGGAAT